CAGGATTCCAAAAGTAGGCCGGACATGCTCATACACGTTCCTGGATTTTTTTTTTCAAATTTGCCTTCGGAGAATTTCCCAAAGTCGCACGCGATTTGCCTTACCAGGTCTTTGGGAATCCGCCGAGACGCGCAGTGCGCGGCGGCGGGCGACGGGGCGGTGCGCCACCGCCCCCCCCCGCGCTCGGCAACGAGAAAAGGCATCAGCAAGTGCCAAAAAGCCCCCCAAGGGCGACTACTCGATTGCGCATTTGTGAGCGACCAGCGGCGCCATGCAGAGTAGACAATATTCGACGCAAAGTGCACCCCGCGCGAAGGCTGTTAGACATCCCGGAATCCCCAGAATCTATCAATAACAAACTATGTCAATATAGTCTTCTCGTCCTATGCTCGTCCTCCTGCTCTTCTTCCTCCTCGTCCTCCTCGTCCTTGTCCTCTGTGACTGTTCCTCGCTCATTCTGCAGCTCCCGCGGCAGCGCTGCATCACAGAGCGTCCCGCCGCCGACGCCAGGCCCTCCTCCAGCTCGTTGCCCTCCCGCCTCCAGCTCCAGTGCCTCCTGTTCTGGCCCCTCCCTCCCTGCTCTTCCTCCTCCTCCACCTCCTCCCCTTCCTCCTCCTCCTCCTCCTCCTCCTCCTCCTCCTCCTCCTCCCCCTCCTCCTCCCCCTCCTCCTCCTCCTCCTCCCCCTCCTCCCGCTGCTACCCGCTGCCCCTCCCCCCCGCCGAGGCCCGAGAGCGACGCGCCCGCCCCGCTGCTGCGCACCGAGGCGCGCCCGCTTCGCGGCGCTCCGCCGCCCGCCGAGCGCCCTTCCCGCGGGGCCCTCCCGCGGCCTGCGGCGCCCGGGCGGCGGCCCGAGGGCAGGGGGGCCTTTCGACCCCGCTCGATGCGAGTCGATCCCGATTCCGTCCGGCCCGATGCGATGCGGCTCGAAGCACCATCGCTTCTGTACCAGTGCGGAAGCCAGTATCGTTGATCCGACCCCCATCCCCGTCCCCCATCCCCTTCGAGGCCCCCACCAGATTGCCCTCCCAGTTGGGGGTACACCCCTCGAAGCCCGAGGGGAACGACCTCCATCCCCACCTAGGGGGGTAGGTCCGGCCAGTGGGGCCCAGGCCACGCCGCTGGGGAGGGGGATCGGTTAACCGATGCTCAGGATGTCCGATCCGCTGACAGATCCAATCCTCTCTCCACTCGGCGGCATCGAGCCCCTGCGAGGCGGCACGTTCTCCCCCGGCGGCGCGGGGAGGGGGGGGGGGCCTCGGCACCCGCACCCGAGGAAGCCGCGGGGCCCTTCGGAGGTGGACGCTCCCGCAGTGTCTCGGGCCGGACGTAAGGGGGGGATTGGGAAAGGGGGGGTTACGACATTTGCTGCATGCAGCTGGTTTCGGCCCCACGGAGGGGCCCATTCTTCGATACATAGCCGCCTCTGGCGCCGGGAGGCGCCGGGAAAATCAGCTACGTGAGCTGATTCTCACCCCCCCCCTCTTTGCTATCCCCCCCTTTCGTCCGACCCGAGTGTCGTGTCGTCTGTGGCCTCTTGTTGTGCTGCGGTTGCGGCAGCCGCCCCTGGTCGCCGACAGGGCAGCGCACGGACAGCAAGAGCGGCCTCCACGGGTCACCTGCTCTTGCGTACCCCCGCTCGCGCCCCTCCTGGTGTAGGAGGGAAAGAAATTATCCCAGTGCGACCCTACCTAGGAGTTGGAGCCCCTAGGAAAGCAGCATTAGTAGTAACAGTAAAGCAAAGCTAAAGCTAAGCTGCAGCTAAGCTACAGCTAAGCCAAAGCTAAGCTAAAGCTAAGCTAACTCTAAGCTAAAGCTAAGCTAAAGCTAAGCTAAATCTAAGCTAAAGCTAAGCTAACGCTAAGCTGAATCTAAGCTAAGTATAAGCTACAGCTAAGTTGCATATAAGCTTAAGCTAAGCTAGAGCTACACTTAAAGCTAAACTAACGCTAAGCTAAAGCTAAGCTAACGCTAAGTTAACGCTAAGCTGAAGCTAAGCTAAATCTAAGCCAACGCTAAACTAACGCTAAGCTAAATCTAGCTAAAGCTAAGCTAAAGCTAAGCTAAAGCTAAGCTGAAGCTAAGCTGAAGCTAAGCTGAAGCTAAGCTAAATTTAAAGCTAAGCTAAAGCTAAACTAAAGCTAAGCTAAAGTTAAGCTACATCTAATCTAAAGCTAAGCTAAAGCTAAGCTAACGCTAAGCTAAAGCTAAGCTAAAGCTAAGCTAACGCTAAGCTAAAGCTAAGCTAAAGCTAAGCTAAAGCTAAAGCTAAAGCTAAAAGCTAAAGCTAAAGCTCCCAGGGGACTGGGGGAACCGCGGGGCGGGGACTGGGGGAACCGCCCGGGGCGCTTAGCACTGCCCGGCCCCTTTAAGCTAAGAGAGTAAGAACCCTCTAGGCAGAGCCTAGGTAGGGAACCCGCTCGCGCCCCTCCTGGTGTAGGAAGGAGAGAAACACACAGACACAATTAATCGTCGATTTCCCAGAAACAAGGGGCACGCGTGCCAAGGATCATACAATGACGATGTGGGTCCATGGGAGCGGGGGGGAGCGCACGGTCGGTCGGAATAAGGGGAGGGGGGCGCAGAAGGGCGGGGGGGGGGGCCGGCGCACGGTCGGGGGGAGGGGGGCGCAGGGGGGGGGGGGTGGCCCACGGTCGGTCGGAATAAGGGGAGGGGGGCGCAGGGGGGGAGGGGGGGGGCCCACGGTCGGTCGGAATAAGGGGAGGGGGGCGCAGGGGGGAGGGGGGGGGGGGGGGCGCGGGGGGGGTAGGCACGGTCGGTCGGAATAAGGGGAAGGGGGCGCAGGGGGGGAGCGGGGGGTGGGCCCATGGTCGGTCGGAGGGGGGCGCAGGGGAGGAGCGGGGGGGGAGGGCCCACGGTCGGTCGGAATAAGGGGAGGGGGGCGCAGGGGGGGAACGGGGGGTGGCCCACGGTCGGTCGGAATAAAAGGAGGGGAGCGCAGGGGAGGAGCGGGGGGGGTGGCCCACGGTCGGTCGGAATAAGGGGACGGGGGCGCAGGGGGGGAGCGGTGGGGGGGCCACGGTCGGTCAGAATAAGGGGAGAGGGGCGCAGAAGAGGAGCGGGGGGAGTGGCCCACGGTCGGGCGGAAGAAGGGGACGGGGGCGCAAGGGGGGAGCGGGGGGGGGCCCACGGTCGGTCGGAATAAGCGGAGGGGGGCGCAAGGGGGGAGCGGAGGGGGTGGCCCACGGTCGGTCGGAATAAGGGGAGGGGGGCGCAGGGAGGGAGCGGGGGGGGTGGCCCACGGTCGGTCGGAATAATGGGAAGGGGGCGCAGGGGAGAAGCGGGGGGGGTGGCCCACGGTCGGTCGGAATAAGGGGAGGGGGGCGCAGGGGGGGAGGGGGAGGGGCCAGCACGACCACCAGCACGACCACCAGCACCTCCACCAGAACGGCCAGCAACACGACCGCGAGCACGACCACCAGCACGACCACCAACACGACCACCAGCACCTCCAGCACGGCCAGCCACCAGCACGACCACCAGCAGAACCACCAGCACGACCACCAGCACGACCACCAGCACCTCCACCAGAACGGCCACCAACACGACCGCCAGCACGACCACCAGCACAAGCACCGGCACGCCCAGCCACCAGCACGACCACCAGCACAACCACCAGCACGACCACCAGCACGATCACCAGCACGACCACCAGCACCTCCACCAGAACGGCCACCAACACGACCGCCAGCACGACCACCAGCACAAGCACCAGCACGACCACCAGCACGACCACCAGCACGACCACCAGCACGACCAGCCACCAGCACCTCCAGCACGGCCAGCCACCAGCACGACCAAGCACGACCACCAACACGACCACCAGCACCTCCAGCACGGCCAGCCACCAGCACGACCACCAGCACAACCACCAGCACGACCACCAGCACGACCACCAGCACGATCACCAGCACCTCCACCAGAACGGCCACCAACACGACCGCCAGCACGATCACCAGCACAACCACCAACGCGACCAGCCACCAGCACGACCACCAGCACAACCGCCGGCACGACCACCAGCACGACCACCAGCCCAGCACGACCACCAGCACGACCACCAGCACGACCAGCCAGCAGCACGACCACCAGCTCGACCACCAGCACTTCCCAGCACGACCACCAGCACAAGTACCAGCACGACCACGAGCACGACTGCCAGCACCTCCACCAGAACGGCCAGCAGCACGACCACCAGCACGACCACCAGCACGTCCACCAACCACGACCACCAGCACGGCCGCCAGCACAACCACCAGCACGACCGCATTATGGGCACACGGTCGGTCGAAATAAAGCAGTGCGAGATCACACCGGTAGGTATGATGATATAGGAAAATATGGGAAGTGAGGGGGAAGACAAAAACCCAGAAAATATGGGAAAATATGGGGAATCCTGTTATTTGTGTGTATTTATTTGTGTGTCTCAGGTCCCCTTCATGGTGCAGGTGCGTGGGCGGTGGTGCGAACGAAATGCCGAGTTCTGAATTACAGCCTCCCCTCCTCCTCCGCCGCCTCCTCCGCCTCCTCCTCCTCCCTCTTGACCTCGTCCTGGCCCCCTCCTTTCTACCCTGCTCCTCTCGCGCCCCTTCCCCATCAATCTCCTCCTCCTGTTCTCTTCCTCCCTCGTCGCTATCCCGGGATTGCCTTCCTCGCCTTGCTCGTCCATGTTTCTTTCTTCACCGCCGTCGTCCGCGTCTGGTACGCATGCAGCCATTGCTATGGCAAGTGTGAGAATGCTGGCGGGTGGTGCGCGCTCTCTCTCATGTTTTTGTTTTTTCGAAGAAAAGAAGATCGGGCGCGTCCGTATGCGTTTCGCCGCTGGTTTCCTTCACGCAGCGTCGAGCTGTACCCTCGGCCCTACTGCTGTCTTCCCCGCACCCCTCGCCTTCGCGCTCGGCCAGCTCGCCTCCCGGGCACCCCGCTGGACCACACGTGGAGTCCAGGAGGGGGCCCGCGCTTCCGTGTGCAGCTCTTCCGTAGCAGCTGGGGCTCAGCACATCCCGTCCCGTGCACGGGTGCGCGCCGATCGCTGCGTGCGCACTTGTCAAGGCGATGCCGAATCCGACTGCGCACTTCGAGACCTCGGAGGGCAGTTTCGAGGCGGACATCTACCTCGACCGTGTGCCCGTCACCGCATCAAACTTCATAGCGCTCTGCAGAAGCGGATTCTACGAGGGACTGCATTTTCATCGCGTCATCGACGGTTTTATGAATCAGTTCGGATGCCCTTACTCAAAGGACCCCAACTCGCCCATGTGCGGGAAAGGCAATGCTCCCGAAGTGTCCTTTCCGAACCTGATAACAGGTGGCTTGACGTGCCGTGGGCCGGGGGGCACGATCAAAGACGAGCACATCTCTCTTGACAGCAACGCCCCTGGCACGTTATCTATGGCCAACGTGGGCCAGCCGAACACGAACAGTTCCCAGTTCTTTCTCAATGTGGCTCACAATCGCTCGCTCGATTGGTTCACGCCAGGTGATTCGAAACATCCCGTGTTCGGCATTGTCAAAGCAGGCATGGACGTCGTCACCAAGATATCCAAAGCCACTACCGTCAACGACAAGCCAGTGACACCCATCAGGATGATCAAGATTACAATTGTTGGAGCTCCCGAACCACCGCCTACATCGACAGGGAAGGCCGCACGGAGACGGTCGTCATCGTCGTCGTCCTCGTCGTCCAGCTCGCGCAGGCGCAGAAAGAAGAAAAAGAAAAAGCGCCGGAAGCGGTCGTCATCATCATCGCCAGATGAAGTTCGTGCGCTGCATATCTTGCGCAAACACAGGGAGAGCCAGCGGCCGTCGTCGTGGCGGCAGTCCGATATCACATGCAGCCTGTCCGATGCGTGTGATTTTTTGACGGCCTTGAGAGAGCAGCTAGTCCCGCTCACAGGTAAGAAGGATAAAGTTGCCCTGCAGACTGCATTCAAGGAGCTGGCGAAGAAGCACTCAGACTGCAATTCTGCCAAGGACGGAGGCGACCTCGGGCGCTTCACCCACGAGAAGATGCAGGCGCCCTTCTCGGACGCGGCCTTCGCTCTCGACGTTGGCGAGCTGTCGAAGGTAGTCATCACCGTTTCTGGCGCACACCTAATCCTTCGGGTCCGGTGAGCATTACAACAGGTGAGCAGATAATCAAAAAGAGGGAAAGCAGCAACACATCAACACAACACAGGGGAGCTGGGGAAGATGCCACGCCTGACTGCGAGGAGGTCGTGAGAACTAGCAGAATTGCGAGAGAGCTCCACGCATTCGACTAACCGGTGCAGCGTGGAGGCATAGGAACAGAAGGCGGAACAGGATTAGAGGATTAGGAACACGAGGATGAGGAGGATGAGGAGGAGGAGGAGGAGGAGCATTGAGCATTGAGATCCCCATTGCGAATGCAAGATGAGGAGGAGGAGGAGGAGGAGGAGGAGGAGGAGGAGGAGACTGAGGAGGAGGAGGAGGAAGACGAGGAGGAGGAACATGAGGAGGAGGAGGAGGAGAAGGAGGAGGAGGAGCAGGAGGACTTGGAGCATGAGCAGGAGAAAGAGGAGGAGGCGGAGGAGGAGGAGGAGGAGGAGGAGAAGGTGAAGGATGAGGAACAATAGGATAAGGAGGAAGAGGAGGAGGATGAGGAGGAACACGAGGAGGACGAGGAGCATGGGAGGGTGGGGAGAATCAGGATATCCAGGAGAGATTGGAGTCCAGTGGGATGGGGGAGGAGCTGGCGGGGGTGGAGTGAGCAGGAGAAGGAGAAGGAGGAGGGCGGCGGGAGGGTGCAGGGGGTGGAGGGGGTGGTGGAGGAGGACGAACATGAGGAGGACAGGAAGGAGGGTGCCAGCGTACCTGAAGGAAGGGCAAACATGGACGAAGGCTCGTGCATTGGCGATGGGTCCCGGGTTCCGTGCAGAGTCGGCGCGATCCGTCAAGCCTTTTTGGCTCAAGCCTGTGGCTCAGGGACCAAATGCAGGTTCCTGTCATACACTCGGGTAGCCAATTGCAAACCGCGATGTTTGCTTGGTTGTCTGCTTGGCCTTTCCGCACAAGCCAGTAAAACTCCCACCCACATCCTATTCCTGATGATCGATGACCTCGGTTGGAGCGATGCTGGCTATCGTAATACGTCAGACCTTTCGAGCCCTACTACTGATGATCTTGCCATGAACCGCGTCCGACTTAACCACTATTACACCTATCTCGTCTATGCAGCCCATCGCGTATTAGTGTTTGAGCGGCCGTTATGCTTACGATGTAGGCTTGAATGGCGATGATTTCCATAATGGACATGCTGAAGGTTTACCAGGAAATGTGAGCACAGTGGCGGATCGTTTGCAGGACGGTATATTCACAACGGCTATTATTGGAAAGTGGGGCGCAGGAATGACCACGTGGGACGATACCCCGAATTGCGTTGGTTTTGATTATTTCTTTGGTTCTTACAGACCTTCGCAGGACCACTTCACCCATGGTAATTGCAGGGATTATACGCGGTATCTGGATCACCGAGAGAATTTCGAGGCGCAGAAGGACTACAATGACATCTATCCGACACACCTATACACGGAGAAAGCCCAGGCCTGGATTCCCCAAGTCGTGGACAAGGAACGCGTAAACAACACGTTCATGTATTTGGCATAAACAACACGTTCATGTAATGAGTATGTGCAGCGGTGCCAAAAACGAGGGGTATCATCTGAATGGTGGTGATCCCGAAAAAGGTTACAATAATTGGCCACTGCGCGGAGGAAAAGGAGGGAACTACGAGGGTGGGGTGAGAAGCACTGCGTTCATTCATTCGGTGGTGTGGCGCGGCTCAAGGTGCACGAGGACGGTCATATGCACCCATCGACGGTGTGGACCAGTGAGAGGCTCTCACGGTTCCTGGTAGTGTTGCCAAGCGCACGGATGTCATCCATGATCTTACGAAGAAAGGTCGTCTTTTGATTGAGTCTTTTCTTTGACGGGCGGTACAAGATCCTGCGGCACGTCCCTTCCCAGACTGGAGTAGGCTGGCTTCCTGTACCAGGCCGCTGAGGCCCGATTTCCGCACCACACGCCGAAGGTTTGTCCTGCCGATCGCTTACATTTCTCAAAGGATGATGGTACTTGGCTCTGCGATGTGGTTGCCGATCCACTGGAGGAGACATATCGTTCCGGCCAGCGTCCTGAGGTCGTCGACCGCCTCGCCAAAAGTACTCATGCCGCATGGTCGCGCCACATTGTCCAGCAGAGGCAGCCCTTAGAGATCTCCTCGGCGGGGTCTGGACGCCATGGCGTGGGGAGCGCCATCCAGCATGCAGCGCAAGCGCAGAGGGCGCCCAGAGGAGTGGGAGAGCGCGGAGGGTGCCCAGAGTGTGGCGAGCGCTTCTGCGGCACGCCGCGGCTCTGCAGCAGTCGCGCCTGCAGCAGCCCTATACTTGTAGTGCCGCGTTGCGGGGCCGACGTCTGAGGATGTGTGCAGACGGGGCCCTGTCGCCGTTCGATCTCCGCGATGGATATTGCTCATGGCCCTCCTGTAGAAGCTCCGAGGCGGTGTAGTGCCAGGTGCTACTCTTGTTGTGTGTGAATGTTTGTGGGCGCTTGCTGAAGGCTTTACCTCTCCAAGAGCTGCGTGCAAGCTAGCAAGTCCGATTTGGCGGCTCAAAGAACCGCGCGCCCCATTAATGGGGACGGAAACGAATCCAGTGTGAAACGAATGCGGCGTGAACTTCTATTGCGAGTCATGTGATTCTCGCAGACTGCAGTGCGAAACGAATGCAGTGTGAAACGGCTACAGTGGGAAGAAGCGCTGCGCGCCTGCGAGACATTCTACTTTGGCAGGCATTGGAGACGCGTGCTCGTGCGCCCGTGAGTGCGCGCGCGTTGCTCCGCCGTGGGCGCCAGATTTGATTTGTTGGAAGTGCCGAGTTGTAGGGCCGACGTCTCAAGATATGTATAGACAGAGCCTTGTCGCTATGTCATGTTGGGAGAACGTATGCGGACACAAGCTGTCCGATCTTCGCGATCAATACTCTGGTCCTCCCGTAGAAGCTCCGAGGCTGTATAGTGCTAGGTGTTATCGAGGACGCCGGCGGCGCATCACCGGCCGCTCCCTGGGAGTTTGTCGAAGTGGTGCGCAGCATCGAACGTCGTGACGCGGTGCGTATGCCATGTATCGAAGACGCCTACGGCGAATCACCGCCGCCCCCTGCCTTTGTGGAAGCGCCTATGTGGCCGAACGTTGAGGCCAGACCTGCCAAGCCATCGGACCATGTGTTCCCCGAATCGGTTTGGAAAGCCTTCGGGGAACACGTGGGCGTCTTGATGGTCATCGTCGCCGTCTTGGAGGCCTCTTGGGCGATCTTTCGGCGATCTTTGGGGGCTCTTGGGCCGTCTCGGGCCGTCGGAAGGCCGAAAAAAGGGAAATGCCCAAATCCATCAAAAACCTTGGGAAAATCAGTGATTTTGGCATCTTTTGGCCTTCCTGGAGGCCCTCTTGGGGGCCTCTTGGGCCCTTTTGGGCCAGCTTCGAGCCAACTTCGGCCATCTTGGTGGGTTCCTGGCACGTCTGACGCCGTCGGGAGCCGTTTTGGGGGCCTTTCTGGGCCAACGGGGGACCCTCTTGGGGCGCTCCAGGGCCGTCTTGGAGGCCATCTTGGGCGTCTTGGAGGCCATCTTGGGCGTGTTGGAGGCCTCTTGGGCCGTCTTGGGGCCCTCTAGGGGCCATCTTGGAGGCCACTTGGGCCATCAGGGGGCTCGCGGACTTGGAGGCCATCTTGGGCCATCTTCGCGATTTTTTGAGGATGTCCCGAGCGAAACGGCCGTTCTTGGAGGATTTTTTGCGGTCGTTGAGCACGTTTGGGGATTTTCCGGGTGGCCGGCGGGTTCTGCCGGAGCCCACTGGGGAGTTCTTTTGGAAAAAGAACCAAAACCAAAACCTGACAGCTCATCCAGCACGCCGTGCACCCCTGCAAGCAGGGGGCGGCGGATCAATTGGCCGTCGGCCCATCCCGCCACCGTGCTTGGGTTTCGGTTTCGAGTCCTTATGGACGCTTCGTGGGCTCTCTCGAGAGGGCTCTCGGGGGCTATTGGGGGGAGTTTAGGTGCCTCTTGGGGGTTTCCTGGGGGCTTCTTGGGAGCCTCTTGGGTCTCTCTTGGGGCCTTTTGGGGCTCTCTTGGGGCCTCTTGGGGTCTCCTGGTGGACTCTTAGAGCCTCCTGGGGGCCTCCTGGGACCGAAAGCTCGAGATGTTTATTCGGGTTCCCCTTCTGTGCGCCCTCTTGGGGCCGTCCTGGGCCCCTCTTGGAGCGTCCCGGGGGCCTCTTAGGTCGTATTGGGGCCCTCTTGGGCTGTCTTGGAGCCCTCTTGGGGGCTTGTTGGGCTGTTAGGGGGCGATCTCGGGGGCCTCTTGGGCCGTCTTGGAGCGTCGGTAAGTCGAAATGGCGAGAACGGGAAAATCTTTCAAAAACTATTGCAAAATGAATGATTTGTGTCTCTTGCGCCTGAAACCCTTGCGGCGGCCTCTAAGGGTTTCCCGGAGCCTTCTTGGCCTTCGGCCCATCCCGCCGCCGCACTTGGGTTGTGAGTCAGAGTCCCGATGGGCGCTTCTTGGAATTTCCTCGGAGGGCTTTAAGGGTCTTGTGTTTTGGAGCCCCTTGAGGGCGTCATGCGGACCTGTTGGGGGTGCTGGGTGATGCTCTTGGAGGCTCGTTGGGACGTCTTGAAGGCGCGTGAGGTCCTCTAGAGGCCATCTTCGGCGTCTGGGAGTGATCCCGCTACCTTGCCTGAGTTGTGGGGCACGGTCCTCATGGACGCTTTAGGAGTCTCTTCGGAGAGCTCTCGGGGTCCTCTGAGGCTTTGTGGGGCGTCTTGAAGGCGCGTAAGGTCCTCTAGAGGCCGTCATCGGCGTCTTGGAGTGATCCCGCCACCTTGCCTGGGTTGTGGGTCAGAGTCCTCATGGACGCTTGTAGGAGTCTCTTCGGAAAGCTCTCGGGAGCCTCTGCGGGGCATTTTAGGAGCCTCTGGGGAGCCTCCTGGAAGCTTCTTGGGAACTGCTTCGGGCCCTCTTGGGGGCCTTTGAGGTTTTTTGGGACGCCTTGAAGGCGCGTGAGGGCCTCTAGAGGCCATCTTCGGCGTCTGGGAGTGATCCCGCCACCTTGCCTGGGTTGTGGCTCAGAGTCCTCATGGACGCTTGCAGGAGTCTATTCGGACAGCTCTCGGGGGCTTCTGCGGGGCAGTTTAGGGGCCTCTTGGGGGCGTCCCAGGGGCTTCTTGGAGACCTCTGGGGGCCCTCTTGGGGC